GCCAAATGAAGATGATTGAGATTTCTAATGTTTAGATTTTATCTGCCCTTTTTGTTAGAATATATAATTGAATCATCTATACTGAAAAATCACTATAATATGTATATTTTAATTAGCTTTCCACTGGGCATGGTGATGCATGTCCATAATCCAACAGCTTGGGAGGCTGAGGCAGGAGGATCATGAATTCAAAGCGAGACTCAGGAACTTAGCAAGGTACTGAACAACCTAGCGAATACCCTGATTCTAAATAAAAAATATAAAGGGCTGGGGATGTTGCTTAGTGGTTAGCCACCTCTGGTTCCATTCCTGTTATTAAAACAAACAAACAAACAAACAAAGATCTTTCCTAGAAAATAAATATCTAAAAAATATAATTCTCCTATACATTCATTTTCAAGAAGAGCAAATAAACCTCTACATTATTTAGGGTTATATTATCATAATTCTGTGAATTTGGCAGTGTCTTTTCCCAAAGGCCATGTCTATAAGACACAAGCAGACAACAGTCTCAAAAGACTCCTTTTGTAAACCTTAGGAAGTTATAGGAACATGGCACTTGAAAGAATCTCCCAATCTGGGAAGATACTTAAGATCAAAGATTTCCTTCCCCTCCTTGCTAGCATCTATAAGTAAAGATCCAGCTTTTTATGTGTGCAAAACAAGCATTCCCTTTATTGAATTAGTTGTTTTTCTTCTTTAAAACCACAAGTGTGGTATCATATTCTTGAAGGAATCTCCAGCTAACTGACTTGGGTGTCATTCTTTGATCTTGATGCATTTAAAACATTAGCCAGATGCAGGGAGATGTGTATTGTAAGAAAGCATTTCATCTAGAATTATTTCATCAAAAGATCTGTCAGAGCCAGGCCCATTGGTTCACACACCCTGTAATCTCCGTCACTCAGGAGGCTGAGGCAGGAGGAGTGTAAGTTCAAGGCCAACCTCAGCAAATTAGCAAGACCCATMATAAAAAATAAAAAGGGCTGGGGATGTAGCTTAGTGGTAAAGTGCCCCTGGGTTCAATTCCCAGTAACAGCATCCCCCCCAAAAAAGCTGTCAGGGCCTCCACTGGGAAATTAACTGATGATTCTTTTACTATAGTTGTGAAAACCTGGGGGACTATTGCCTAAATTTATTCTTAGGCGACCTCAGTGTTCAACAGATCTATAAACAAACCACAGACGTATGGGGGAAAAGCCCAAAGACAAACCAACAACCCATCTAGAATCTAGTGGAAGAAACGACAACCTCTTGGCTTTTGATTAGCAGGGCTAGAACACTTCTGGGTTGTTCCTTAACTACAAGTGAGGCTACTACCTTCCTGGAATCTCTCCTGCCTCCAGGGTCAAAGATTGCCGTGATAGGGGCTGGGGTTGTGGCTCCGTGGTAGAGCGCTTGCCTGGCATGTATGATGTGCTGGGTTCGATCCTCAGCACCACATAAAATTAAATAAATAAAACAAGGGTACTGTGTTCAACTACAACTATATATGTACACATACAATAATAATAATAAAAAAAGATTGCTGTTTCCAGGGAGGATAGTCTGGTAACTCCCTCCCTTCCTTTAAAATAAACCCTGGGAAACACCTAGTAAGAAGGGGCTGTGATATTGGAGAGGAATGTGCTCTTTTGACTCTTAACACACTTGCTGAAAGCTGATGAGGACCTTTGGATCTTTCCCAACCACTGGCTTTTTCCCTATTGTGATTAAAATTTAAAAAAAAAAAAAAAAAAAAACCAACCTATCATGAGTGGAATGTAATTCCGTTTATACCAGAAGGACAAAGGGATTCACTTGTACAGGGATTTGAACCTGTCATTCTTCAGAGGTCTAGGTATCTCATACTACATTGTGAAGAAGACAAATTTTTAAAAATAGACGGGCATTCTGCTTTTCTGCAGATCAAAGCCTGGGTTCACATGCAATGCCCTTTACTTCTTGGAAGGGATGCCACTCAAATCAGATCTAAGCATCACTGAACGGTAAAAAAGAGTGTGCAAGGGGGCTGGGTATATAGCTCAGTTGGTAGAGTGCCTGCCTTGCATGCACAAGGCCCCCAGCGCCCCCCTCAAAAAAGAATGTGCAAAGCAACAAGATAGAAGAGTACTAATTTATAGTACCTTTTAAATTTTACTGTGTTTCACCTTCTACCAAAAATGTCCTAAGTGGCTTAACTGGTTAAGAGTATTACAAAGATGGCCAAGGTCAAGGTTTTAATCTTCTTAATGACCTATTTACTTCTGTGTAAGGGCCACAAATTCTCCTTTCAAAATTTGTTTCTAAATGAAGGTGGACCTGGAAAGAGGACACAAGGAAAACCATCACCAAACAGGAAAACACACCAGCAGCTGTTGCCAATGAGAAGGAGCAGGTCACCCGTCCAGAATCCACAGGCATCTCACTCGGTCTTTTCACTCATTCTTTCTGCATGGCAGGTGCCAAAATCATAGAAAGAAACCAGATATAGTCCCACCCAAGAGTTTGGTGCAAAATCAGCAATTACAATGGATGCAGTAGCACACTTCTATAATCTGAGAGACATGGGAGGCTGAGGCAGGAGGATCCCAAGTTCGAAGCCAGCCTCAGCAACTTAGCAAATTCCTATCTCAAAGTTAAAAAAAAAAAAAAAGGGTTGGAGATGTGGCTCAGTGGTACAGCATTTACCTAGCATGTGCAAGGCCCTGGGTTCAATACCCAGTACTTAAAAGGTGGAGGATGGGGGAGGGAATGTAGTTCAGTTGTAGAGCACCCCGGGGTTCAATACTCAGTACTACAAAAAAACAGTACAGTGCAAGCCCAGGTATGATGAGAGGAGCCTAAGCCAGCTGGGGAAGGCAGGAAAGAGGGCAGGTAGGAGAGGATTTCCAGAGGAGGGGGGCACACCCCAAAGGATGCAGTGAATGTCATTTTGAACTCCAACAAATGGATGAGTAGCAAGGAAATGCCAATTAAAAGAGCAATATTAACACATTATTCTTGAGTTAAAAAAAAAAAAAGGAAGAATGAGCAGGTGTGGTGGGGTCACCTGTAATCTCAGTAATGTGGGAAGCCGAGACAGGAGGATTGCAAGTCCAGTTTYTGCAAATTAGTGAGACAACAGAAAAAGGTCTGGGTATGTAACTCAGTGGAAAAGGACCCTTGGACCCCATTACTGCCAATAATAATAATGATCATAAAACAATTTTCTTAAAAGGAAGGATTGAGGGCTGGGGATGTGGCTCAAGCGGTAGTGTGCTTGCCTGGCATGCGCGCGGCCCGGGTTTGATCCTCAGCACCACATACAAAGATGTTGTGTCCGCCAAAAACTAAAAAATAAATATTAAAAAATTTTCTCTCTCACTCTCTCTTTAAAAAAAAAAAAGGAAGGATTGAATAGTAGGCATTTGGGATCTCAAATGCATATCAGTAATAAGATTGAATCAGGACTGGGGATATAGCTCAGTTGGTAGAGTGCTTGCCTTGCATGCATAAGGCCCTGGGTTTAATCCCCAGCACCAAAAAAAAAAAAAAAAAAAAAAAAAAAAGAGTGAGTCACTTTTTTCCCCTGACTATTCATTACTATTGTAATGAAAAAGCAACAGATCTTCAACCCTATTAGGGGTTTTAAGTCTCACAACAGAGGACTTTTCTCCTAAGACAGACACATGTGGTTTAAATGAATTAAGCCAACTCTGCAAGTTTCAAGGGGTAGATTTATATAAAACAAGGAGATAGCTCTGTGTGTGTGTGTGTTGCTGGGATTGAACCTAGGGCCTGGTGCATGCTAGGCAAGCACCCTACCACTGAGCAACACCTCCAACTCCAATGAGCTTAAATATCACAATTCTTTTGTAGGGCAACAAGTGAAGTCACAGGCTACATAAACAATTTTTTGTTGTTGTTGTTGTTGAAGATAGGACTAAGGACTTCCTGTATGCTAGGTAAGTGCACCATTGAGCACTCTCCAGCCTTAAAAATTTTTTAAAAAACATCACAATTCTTTTAAAGACCCATTTAAATTCTTTTTTCTTTCTTGTGGTATTGTGGATCAAACCAAAGGCCCAATTCATGCTAGGCAAGCTCTCTATCAGAGCTCACCCCCAGCCCAAAGCTAACCATTTTAAAGTGAGCATATTAGGACACATGAATTTCCCTCCAAATCCCATCGTGAAAGCATAAACTGGTCCTGGGAAGACGAACCTGTTAGTTAGGTCAGCAAGACACCATCGCCACCTTGTGTTCAACAGTCTTCATTACACCCACAATATTTTTTGACAAAGATCACACATGGATTCAACAAATACAGAATATAGCTTTATTTATAGAATCTTACAAATAAAACATTTACAGTCCACATAAGTTATTTTCTTTCCTAATTTTTTCATAACACCTGAGTTTTTTTTTAAAAAAAAATACTGTGATGTAACTGTAGAACTGTAAAGGGAAATATGAATAATAAAAACCTAACCTCTTTCTTTTGCAAAAAATCAGACTTTATTATTATTATTTTTTAAAGCAGTTTTCTGGCATATTTCTGTCTCTTTGGAAGAGGACTTCCTAAAAATAGATCAAACAGAGAAGTCTTCATTTTACAAACCCAGGGTGAAGGACCACCGAAGAATGGCCCCCAGGTAACACTAGACACACAATCTTTGGGGGCAAAGACAGAAGGTGAGAAGTAGCAGGACCCTGTCCCTGGCTTATGGCGCCTACGTGACACGTACTTTCCTTGCTGACATTAATAGGAACTGGTCCTTCTGGAAAGAAGTGGAAGGTGCCTTTGGGGTGCCAGGTGGAAAAGTCCTCTAACAACTCACTACTCCTCAGACTTCTAATATGTACAGATGCTTAGAACAGCAAATTCAACACTTAAAAGTCAAAATGAAATTGCCACATTTTCAAATCATGAGGCAGATCTGTTGCCAATGGGAACTTCCATTACCACCTCTCCCTCCTAAGCTCCAACTGGGCCGGCCTCTGCATCCATGCAGGTGAAAGAGGAATTCAAATTCCCTCTGAGGCAGTCGTCTGTGAAGGTGAAGCTCTTGAGTTAATAATATAGGTGTGCATGAAAAGGGCAAGCACCCTACTAGTTCATATTTATTTTTCAATTTGTTAAAGATTACATTTTTTTTTAATCTCCTCTCCTAAACTTAGAAACCCACTAACTCTAAGTCAGTACTCTACTCCAAGACAARGGATATTTTAAAGGAATGACAGGAACTACAGGGAATGCTAAAATTAAAATTGTAATAGATKAACGTGAGTTAGATAAAGTAAATCTTCCAGTCTTTTTGGGGGGTGGTGGGGGTGGGGGTGGTGTGCTGGGGATGGAATCCAGGCCTCGCACGTAGGCTGTGCAGGAGCTCCATCTGTCTACCACTGAGCTACCCTCCCAGCCTCAGAGTATCATTTTCTGCTCCCTCTTGAAAGCAGTTTGAGAAAAATAAAACAGAAAGGACGAAATCATTTTAAAACAACAACAACAATGATGATGATAAATATAAAAAGTTAGATTCTAACATTTAAGGAATTGGTTCTTTGGTAAAACTGGACCCTAACTCGATCAGGAGTCGGTCCTGACATTCAATCTAGAATCTTGATTGCTAACGGTTCCTCCTTCTTCAGCCTATTCTAAATCCATCTGGGTCAACAGGCAGGGTTGAGAGTGAGACTTAACAAGAACCCCCAGCACTTTTCCCATTCATACTCTTTTCAGGAATATTCTTGGTTTTGAGAAACATTTCCTAAGAACAAAAACAAAATAGATGTTGATTTTAATTAACAACAGTGGACAGTTTTTCTAAGGAAGGATAGAAAAACTCAGGCGATGGCAATGAACCAGCACTCCTGTCGTCATGTGAACACAGCCTCTGGGCTGCAGCTGTGGCACCACTAAGAAAGGCTTCTGGAGAGAYTGGCTCCCCAAAGTGGCTAAAGAATCTCACATTATCAATATGATAATAATAAATCAATTCACCTAGTGAACCTGGAGATTAGCTCCCCTTGAAGCCAGAGTTCTGAGGAGGGGGCTCCACAGTGCCTGAGGCTGGCCCACAGTGTTAAGCCAAGTTCATCCATCCATGCTCTGGAGAGAATTAGAGGAATTTATACTGAGTTCAATACAGGATTCTAYTTCTGATGTCTGGGGCCAGGGAGGAAGCAGTAACCAAGACAGTGCCACTCAAATTCCACCCGCAGCAATACCTTCGGCCATGCCCCAAGTTTTTGACCTTACAGTCCGGTGTTCCCCGGTACTCAAACTTTTATTTATGCAATTACTAAGTCATACATTTCGCCTGCACTCATTCCATTTCTGACTACCCTTGTCGTGGTAAAGCATAAACTACTGCACTCTAATTCTACAGGTCGCCTTGCCACACTGCGCCAGTCGTGACCAGGGGAGGTGAGTGCGCAGTCTCCCCTCCAACCCCCACATCTTGACCATGTGCTTCTAGGGAGGGATCTGAACAGTCTCTTAGAAGGGAGCTGGGAAAGGGAGGTGGAAATCACAGCAAAAATAATTTGKGTTCTCGCAGATCTTCTGCTCCTCCATTCTGTTAGCATCAAGCCGCAAGAGAAGGTCCAGGCAACGGAACCTTCACRGGGGCTCAATTGGGCAGCCAGGACACAGGAGCCGCACAAACCCACCCCCGGCGTCCCAGGAGAACAAGCGGGGATCACGAGAGGAGATCCATCACTGGCTGCTTCCTATCCCACTCAGGGTGGTCCTTGCCTCTCTCCTGCACTACTCACCGGCTGACCTTAAGTTCTCTTTGAGAGAATGGGCAACTCCACAGACTGGGGTGGGGGCGGGGGTCCCTTGTCTCCTGTCCCTTCTCTGTAAGAAAAGAAGAACCCGCTTCACAGGCCACAGGCCCCAAAGTATAGATCCACCTCCTGAGGCTTCTTTCTTTCTCCTTTTTTCTTCATCTCCTAATACTCCTAACCAAGCCATGACCACGAGCTCTGTTTTGACATTGCAGGGTAAAAGACGGAAAGTCTCTCAGTGCTGCTTCCAAGAGAAAGAGTCCAGAGTGAGCGGAGAGGAAAGGGAGTCTTGTCTTGCACACGGCATTCAGGTTCCGGAGCCACCGTGAAGARGGGGGCAGGGAGGGTTGAGGCACTACCTGGAAAACGTCACCAGGGCAGCTTCTTCCTAGGACAGAGCACTTTAAATACAGTCGCTATCTGGAGCAGGCAGACGGGCTGTTATCAGTCTAATCCAATCGCCTCCTCCATGGAGCTTTGTGGAGGCCAGAACCGACCTGCGGTCCCACTGGCTCTTGGCAGGGCCCTATCCGATCTGGATCTGCCCTGAGTACATGGTGAGGAGCAGCATGATGGTGAAGCCGGTCAAGAGGCCCAGGTTCTGAATGGCAAAGGGGATCAAGAAGCTGCCCTTCCTTTCATCCTCCTGGGAGACCTCATTCATCTCAGGAAACTGAGAAAAAAGAGAGAAAAATAAGAGAGATCTGTGATTCCTCCTCAACCTCACGAGTCCAGCGCAGGTCAGTGATGGAGATACGTGGCAAATCAGTCGACAGGAGATTCCCAGCCACAGCAGCTGGCACCTGAATACGATAGCCTTCCTCCACTGCTCACCCTGACTTTACCACTATGAAGGAAAAGCCAGCACTGAACTAGACACCTGGCCCTGGATTTGGGGGTAGGAGCTGGCTAGCGGTCAATGCCTTCGGGCTGCGGGCGTGGCTGCACGGCCAAGCGTGTGCCAGCAAGCACAAGGCCCAGGGTGTCATCCCAGTACCACCGAAGGAGAAAAAAAGAAACTCTGATGAAAAGAAAAAACCCTTTTTATTGTGGACGTAAAACCACTTAAAAAGATCTTTTTTAACTGACAAATCATTGTTACCACCTCTATGGGAAACCAAGCAACAGTGTGAGGGGACTGAAAATGGAACTACAAGGTGGCTGGGATTGATTCAGGGCCTCGTCCTGCTGGGCCAGCAAAGCAGGTGACCACTGTGGGACCAATAAGGAATGCTAAAGCATCCTACCCACGGCACAGGCTCCCCACAGGAGAGACTGTCTACAGCGTTTCCCTGGGGTGAGTCTGGATGGTAATGGCCACTGCTGCTCTCACCACCTCGCCAAAAACATTATTCTCAAAGAAGACATAAAATAAAACAGTACATAAAGTAAAGCATCTCCTTTACATATGCTGATATGTAAGGGGTATGTAAAGAAAAGTAATTCAGGCAAACAGGCCAGAGAGCACCTCAGGCCAACAGACCAGGGAGGGAGCTCAGGCTCCAAGGCTGTGCACAAGGTGCAGCAGAGCAGGCGGGGACTGACACCTAGTAACATGGGATACAGGGCAGTGTGCTTCTGGACACCACTGATAATGGAAGAAAGCTAATAAAAGCCTAAAAGCAGGGGTCAACCAGGGTGGCTCACACACAGCCGTAATCCCAGCCACTTGGGAGGCTGAGGCAAGAGCATGGCAAGTTCAAAGCCAGCCTCAGCAACTTAGCAAGACCTTGTCTCAAACAAACAAACAAACAAACAAACAGGCTGGGAATGTAGCACAGGGGTAAAGCACCCCTGGGTTCAATTCCCAGTACCCAAAAAAGAAAAAATAAAGCCTAAAACCATGCATCCATTTTTTTAAAGGCTAGTTTTTATTATTATTATTATTTTAATTGTTCATAGACCTTTACTTTTTAGGTATTTATATGTGGTGCTGAGGATCGAACCCAGTGTCTCACACTTGCTAGGCATGTGCTCTATGACTGAGCCACAACCCAACCCATGTATCCGTTTTAAGCCAATAATTCTAATTCTGAAACTAAAGTATATACTCTCATTGAGCAATACCATCACTGAAGAGAATATTTACAAAGAGCATGCAACATGTAAAAACATCCATGATGTGTTAAGTAAAAGAAATCAGGACACAAGATTATATATTCAATATGAATACAATCACTTATAGACATACACAATACATTGAGATAAAAAAGAAACAGTGTTAATTATAATTATGAGGTAGAGAGATTATGAGTAATTCTTCTTTCTTCTTTTTATTTATCTATATATACCTATTTTATAATACTTAACTAAGGACCCTAGATTGAGCACATTTTCTTTAATGACATCCTAACAGAAACATTAAATTTTCTGGACTTAAAATCTCTTGTCATGTCATAGGTTGGTGTGATCGTGCACACCCGGAGTCCTATAGTCCCAGCTACTCAAGAGGCTGAGGCAGGAGGATTGCTTGAGTCATCGAGTTTAGGAACAGCCTGGGCAACCCAGTGAGACCCTACTGGGGGTGGGAAGGTGGTAGATCTAATACTTCCTTAAAACCCACTAATCGTATACCTTAAGTAGATGAATTGTGCGGTATGCGAAGACACCTCAATAAAGCCATTATTAAAAACGAACTTATGTCCCCCTAGCTGTTCTCTATTCACAATTTGATAATCTGGCCCATTTGCCTCTAAGGTATAAACTACGGCAGACTTACCATGTCAGCCAGAGCAATATATAAGAACATTCCTCCAGCCAGGGCAAAAATCCAGTTGGCCGAGAAGTGGCTGCCGGCCAGGATGCCAAAGGCCAGACCCACGTAGCAGCAGCAGGCAGAAAGGAAGTTGAAGAACATAGCCTGCTGGATACTCATCCCAGCATTGAGCAGGATGACAAAGTCTCCTACGGAGGGGAGAACAGGAAGGGAAAGGAAGTTGAGTTGGGAGACAGAGAACATGGGCGAGTCAGAAGGCTCAGCTATGGACGAAGTCTGGGTAAAACTCAATGACAGCCTCAGAATCGAGACTGACCATTGCCGTTCTGTTCAGGAGCTGCCCCATCTGCCAAACTGGCCATGCACACTGGCCAAGACGCTGGAAACCACATGCAGGATTTTGAAAGTAGATGACCAGCTAGAGATGGCCCCATTTCTTTTGATTGAAGGTGAAATACAAAGAACTTCCTTCCTTACTACTATAGTGAATTGTCTTTTTCGGAAATGAAATTGTGAGGAAGAAAAGTCACAAGCCAATGGCAAAGCCAAAATTGGACCATTTGAGCCTCCAGAATCCTGGCTTTCTACACTCTCCCTTGATAAAACCAAGCACCTCCCAAGCTCGGCCTTGTCCACAGATCCACCTGTCAGACTTCTAACACACTCCTCTGCCTTTGGAAGAGTCCAGGGTGTAAGAGATCACCCTTGCTGAGCACTGGGCACAGTGAGCAGCACATGGTAAGCCCTTTCTGCGTCTTGCCTACCTCACGGTGACTCTCTAAGGTAGCTGCTATTACCAACCTCTGTACAGGTGAGAACATTGAGCCTCAGGGGATGAGCTACAGGGAGACAAATTTCCCTGTGAAAAACTTCATCGTTCTAAGCTGCTGTTGGCTTATTGTTGGGATGCGGTGGTTAGAGTCCACACAGCTTGCGGGTGTTGACAGATTACAGAGCGCACTGAGTGGCACTGGGGAGCTCTGAAGTGGGGCTGCACCAGTAGCCAAGGTCRCCACCCGGGCTCCAGGGGATGTGTGCTTACCCAGCTCGTGTGGGAACTCCTCACAGAGGATGGCCACCGACGTGCTGATGCCTTGGAAAGCAGACACAGTGAAGGAGGCACCTATGGCCAGGCCGTCRATGAAGTTGTGGAGGCCGTCACTCAGGGTGATCATCCAGGCCAGGGTGCCGATGTCAGAGTAGCGGACACCCTTCAGCCAGTAACAGGCACTTTGGGAAGCCTGGAGGTCCTATGAGAAAGCACATCCCACGACCCGTGGGTCACGGGGAAGACCACAYGCTTTCAGCATACGCCTGACCCGTCAAGGCCTCTGCCTCTGCAGGCTCCCCAGCAGCTGGCGGCCACAGACCTGCACGGAGAGCGAGCCCACGATGACCTTCCCGTCCACATCCGGGGTCTTGCCATCGGGCTCACTGTTGCAGTGCTGAGGAATCATGTGGTCCAGATCCCCATTCTGCAGCTTCTCTGTCACACCCTCCTCCTGGTCTTTCTTGGAAGGAAGTGTCTCCGAGGCAAAATGGTTATGTCCGTGATGATGCTGGCGGGGTGACAGGGGAGGGGTGAGTGTGACCCTCACCAAACCCCTGAACACCTACTCCAAGTGAGTGCTCCAAGCTCTGCAAAGACCTCACTACGGTCATCCAAGGAAACCAGGGCAGGCCACGCACAGAAGTGTGGGAATTGTCACCTGTGGCAGCACCACGTGTGAGGCTAAGGCCTGTCCCTGGGGTGCCCTCCTTGCACTGAGGGGCCGCTGCAAAGGCACTCAGAGCCCCTCCTCTGCCACGAGCATTTCTGCTGACTCTGCCACCGTGAGGGAACAACCACATGCCGGATGTGGAAGGTTATCTTTCTGGATCTGTGCTACGCTAGTCAGTCCTATTCTTTGCAGTCAGACATCAGATGTTTAGGAAATAATCCAGAACAAAGCAAAGGGGATAAACTGCTGCTGCAGTAAAGGGCTCACTGGCCAGACCCAGTTTCCAGTAGGGCTGCCACCGTGGCTAATATCCTCATGAGGTGAGCTGGGCTGACCTCCTTAGGGCACCTGTGGCTTCACTCAGGTCACATCATTGCACTGGTGGAGCCACACCTGCACCAACAGCCTCAGCTCTCTGAGGTGGGTGYGTTCCCTCGGACATTTTTTTTTTTAAACTGATGATTGGCCTTACCTCATTTTTCTGCTTAAGAAGCATCTTTAAGATCTTCTCTGTGAAAAAGAAAAGGTAGAAGCCCCCAAACACCATGGCAGACTTGGGGACATAATAATCTTCCAGAGGATTGAAGCCAAAAGCCTGTGGACCCAGGAAAATAAAATGAGTTTAAGAAAATAAATATCTCCACTGGTTCCCTCTCATCTCTTAACTACTTCCCTGACTCTAGGAAAGAGGCATCCGGGAATACCTCCGCTGTCTGCCCTTCTCTTGCCATCAACTAATCTTGATGTTCCCCTGATGTGACATCACCAGCCCTGCCAGGTTCTTTCTTGCTCATCTTCCCAAAAGACTTTCTACTTTTTTTTTTGAGACTAGGTCTTGCTCGGTTGCCCAGGCTGGCCTTGAATTTGGGATTCTCCTGCTTCAGTTTCCCAAGTAGCTGGGACAATAGGCATGTACCACATGGTTTTCTACTCTTAGTTAGGTATGCCTTAATTTCTCTTAGCACTTAGTTATAAGAGCATCCTGTCAGCGCATTCCATATTTAAGAAGAAGACGCCTGTGTTTATTTTCATCTTATTTAATGTCCCCAGCGGATCTGTCTGCAAACAGAACGGGAAGTGGTGGAATTATGCTTTCTAAAAGGGAAATCCATTCCCCAGTTGAGCAGCAAGAATTGCAGCATCTTCTTAACCACAAACCTCATGGGGACCACAAAGCCAAAAAAGCCGTCAACACCCCTGTAGGTGTTAATCTTGGGAGCTTTTGAAGCTTGGCTCTGTGGCACATGCCTTGATCCCAGATACTTGGGAGGCTGAGGCAGAAGGATCTCTTGAGACCAAGAATTTAAGACCAGCCTGGGCAATATAGTGAGATCCCTACCAGTTTAGAGATAAGCAAATAAATATTTTAAAAAACAACAACAAAATTGTGCTGGGAGGGTTTTTGAGACAAGGTCTTGCTTTGCTCCCCAGTTGGTCTTGAGTGCACGTGCTCCAGTGACCTTCCCGCCTGGGCCTCCAAAGTAGCCTGGAGTACAGGTGTGCACCTCCACGCCCAGCTGGGGAAGGGGAATTGTTCTGAGTTCTTTCTGAAAACCCTCACTTATTAAGGAGAGGGAGAAAGAATCCATTGGAAAGAGGACAGGAGCAGAAACCAGGAGAATTCTCTTTCCAGTTCAGTTCTTGGTTTATGGTGTCAAAGTGTTCAATGACTTGCTCCTCAGTCTCCTAACTAGAAACAGGCCTTGAATAAACTCCAGTGCCCCTTAGGTTCAGGTTGCATATAGGAGCTAACCAGCGAAGGGGAACCCTGGCTGTTTAAAAGGTGCTTTTCCTTTAGGTTTTAAAGGCACCATACTCAATCATAAGCCTCTAGTGTTGTTTTCTTTCTTTGGTGGGGGTACCAGGGATTGACTAAGGGGCACTTGGCCACTGAGCCATATCCCCAGCCCTATTTTGTATTTTATTTAGAGACAGGGTCTCACTGAGTTGCTTAGTGCTTTGCTTTTGCTGAGGCTGGCTTTGAACTCGCAATCCTCCTGCCTCAGCCTCTTGAGCCATTGAGGTTACAGGCATGTGCTCACCACACCCGGCTCTATGTCGTTTTCTAAAAGACATACATTCTATAGTAGAAGTAGCACATCTGGTCAGCTCTCTGGGAGAGGCGAATCACTGAGGGAAMAGTAAAGTGAAAAGAAGCAACTACCACCTCTCCACACTGAGCCAGGGAGGACGGCAGTATTCAAAAGCCTGACTTCGAGGGTCAGCAAACCTGGCACATAGGCTCAGGGTAGGTGCTCTCGTGCAGGGTCAGATTCCATGGGTTAAACAATACTAGCTCTGGAGCTGGGGCTGGGGCTCAGTGGTAGAGTGCTCGCCTAGCACACATGAGGCACTGGGTTCAAACCTYAGCACTACCTAAAAATGAAATGAAGATATTATGTCCACCTACAACTAAAAAATAAATATTAAAAAAAAAACAATACTAGCTCTACAGATCTCAGGTTTGCTCCACTAGGAACACAAAACAGCATTTTAGAAAACAAAGTACTACAAGAAGCATGTGGAGTCACCCTTTTGTTCTGTGGGCCTGCCAGACCACCTACGCGAAATGTCTTGTGCTTATTGTAATTAATGGGTCTGTTGAAGAGATTGCACCCAGGCAGATGAGGCATCTGCGAGAGGGCCTACCAGACCTTACAAGTACTAAGTGCCCTTCTCTAAGGTGGAGGATTTTTCTCATTTACCCAGATAAGGGACAAAGCTGCTGTCAGTGATGGGAAACTCGCCTGTTCTGTTTAGATTGTCTCTGTCCCCAAACTCCCTTCTGAGAACTGATRTTTTTACTAAGACCCATGGATTCTGTCGACGTGTTTCTGCCACTCTGCACCGAAAGTACCAAATGGAGAGCCATAAAGTGACACAGCTAAACGACATCTTTTCACTTAACAGCTGGAGCACTTTTCCTGGCACCAGGTACTTTACAAATATTATCTCATGTGACCCTTCCATTCTCTTGAGGTCAATCCTAGCGTCTTTCCTGTTTTACATGAGGAAACAGGAGCAGAGAGGTCAGCGGCTTGCCCGAGGTTGTACAACCTGGAGACAGTGCAGCAGGGTTTGACCTGGTTCTTAACCCTACACTGCACAGCCTCTCCTACCTCTTACCTAAGTCCTGGCTTGACTTTCCCAAAGGAAAGGCCCCTGAGAGCCCCTCCCTGCACCTTCCATGTAATCGGAGGTCTCCCACGGTGCCCACTGTCCCCCCGAGGAGACAGGCGCACTCCAGGTCCAGGGGCTCTGGCTCGCCATACCTCAGGGATGAGCTGGAAGAGGGCGTTGGAGTAGAGGGTTCCAATCGCCAGAGCTATGAAGTAGAGCAGCAGCCGCTTGTAAAAAGTCTTCTTCATGAAGGGCACCACGCTGGCCCCCATGAGGGAGCAGAGGGAGATGACGGTGACACAGAGGAGACCGTATCCCCACACTGCCAGCCCACCCGGGACAGGGAGCGGGGCAGCCACCATTGAGGGGAGGAGGGGATAGGGAAAGTTGTGGATATTAACAAAGGAAACAAAAAAAGAAAAACCAGAGAGACAAGTAGGGAGGGAGAGAGAAATAGAAAATCTGTTAGTGATTCGAGTCTTTGATGAAAATTTCTTTCAATCAGTGCAGAGAAATGAGAAGGAGCTCGAAGTGGCCTTGGAACCCTGTGACTCCACCCCTGCTGTCTTTGGTGGCCTGAGTCATACCTGCCAGCTGGTGTGTCTGGCAGGAAGTGCAGGGTGCTACCTTGTCACACGTCCAACGTATGCTCAGGTCCCTCAGACTTTGGACTTGAGGACTGACTCTCTTTAACAGGACATACCGACAAGTGGAGGGACCTGCACATTATGCTGAGCATTGGCCTCTGCATATCCAATCTGTGTCACAGAGGCACATGCAGCACAACCTGGAGGTGGTGCAGTCTGTGCAAAATACACAGTCATGTCTACGGGCAGGGCAGGAGGGACGAAGAACAAGACCCGATGCCTATGATATTCCGTCTCTGCACTTCAGCAGTTTTTAATTATTTCCATTTGCTTGAAAAGGGACCTGGACGTAGAGAACAGAGTTCCAGAGTCACCCCGTCACAAAAAATAGTTCCTCCCACATTTCTCAGTCAGACACACTCCGAGCTGAGTCCAGCCCCAGGAGAGGGCAGGGCAGAACTGTGCCAGGATGACACTCCCCTGTGAGCCAGGGGCGGAGCATGTTCAGTGACAGYAGCTTCATTCAAACAGACAATGAGGCATTTGATTTCAAATCTTTAAAAAATTAATAAGTTCCATTTCTAGAGCTGAAAAAATAGCCCAAGATGAGGCCTCCCCTGAAGTGCTGGCTAAATCCATGTGAAATTCTGAGAGGGCGTATCGAGGTGGTCTCAGAATCATGGATGAGGACAAGGTGACACACGCACGACATCCCATCTGGCATCTTTCAGTTGGGCGGGCGGGGAAGCTGCTGACAGGGACTCACTCCAAGGGGGTCAGGTACACACCAGAGTCCCTGACTGAGCTGAAAAGGCGGGAAGACGGTCAACTTGGGCTTATTTTTATAGCTCCTCAGGGATGACAATTAAGAAACAAAATGACCAAACATTTCAAAACAGTCAAGKAAGGGTACCAGGAAGTCCGTCCCAATCAGGAAAAGGTCAAGATGCAAGGTACAAAGGATGCGGTGCCCTTCTGTTTATTTTATATTTTTAATTGTATTTGTTCTTCTCAAATAKTCTTTGTTCTACCTTTGGCTCTGTACGGCACAAAGATGGCCTGAGGACAAACAAGGATGGCCAACACAGCACACATCCGTTAGTGACCTTTCCCCACCTCRGTGCTGTGGATAACTGGTGCCACATCCAAGTGCCCCCAGGGTTCCCTCAGAGGAGACAAGGCAGGCAGCACCAAGAATAGGGACCAGCCCCCAGCCACAGATCCCCCACAGGGCGGCAAACATGAGGAGCCTTGCATCTGACGGCACCTGAAGAGGCCAGAGGCAACCCTGAGTGCCCGGAGGAGAGAAAGAAGGCCCTTGAGATCTAGATAGAGTGAGGAGTCATTGGTGGCCCTTGGTAAGAGGAGGCAGTGCTGGGAGCCTGGAGCGTGGTGGGGTACGGACATCAGCCAGGAGGGCCTGGCGTTGGGGAGGACGCGCGCCTGTTCTACTGCACCTCTGGAATGAGCTGGAAGAGCGCGTTAGAGAGCAGCGTTCCAATGGACAGGGCGATGAAGTAAGTGAGCACACGGCTGAAAAACGCTTTCTCCGTGCACGGCAGGACGAGGGCTCCCAGGAGAGAGGCCAGGTTAATCAGTGAGACACTGAGGAAACCAAAGCCCCACACTGCGGAGGAACAAGAACAGACGAGGGCCTCCATTACTGAGGGCCAGCACGCCCGCGGCCGCCTGGGCCTGTTCCCACTCAGGGGTAACCTGGGCAGACAGAGCTCGAGCAGCTGTTGAGTCCACCTCTGGCTAGGTGCTGTGAAGAAGCCTTAGGAAAAAAAAGTCAAGGTTGCCACTCAAAAGGAGCTTACTAGAGGGAGAGCCCGAAGAAACAACATGGGAGACTAAACAGGAGTCAGCCACGACAGCAGGGAGCAGGGAGAGACAGCAAATGGCAYGGGTCAGGTTGGGTGCCACGGGCTGGCGCTATGGGACTTCAGGACAGTCAGGGGCCCACGGCTGTGTGGCCCTCAGTCTGCGGCCAGCCTGCTGTGGCTGAAGCAGAGGCACTGGGTTGGGGGTGGAGGGTACAAAGATGAAGTGGGCCAAGCAGGACTTAAAGGCTGGCCCTCCAGAGGTCAAAAAGGAGGACACCCACAGGCCTCRAAGCCCCGCACTCTGCATGTTGGCCAGCATCTGCTCAGCACCGGGCCATGTGCCAGACCAGCCTGTGAACCCAGGGACTCCCAGCACATCATCACTGTCCTGGGCCCCGGAGCAGGTCACACTGCATGCCACACTCCAGTCTCGGCCTCCCTCGCCTCGCCTTGCTCACCTTCGATGGCACTCGGCTTCCCCTCCTCGGTCTGCTCGTTCTCTTCATTCTCTTGGTTCTCAGAGGTACAGGCCCCAGAATCCAGCTGCTGGAGAATGGTGGGGCAGAACTCCTGGAGCTCACTCCTCCCGATCCGAGACGCCTCGCTGAAATTGTGAGCAGCAAAGAGGTCTCCAGAACTAAAGCACTGAAACAAGAAGAAGGGTCAGAGAGCCTCTCAGAACCCAAACCCCACGCCCTGCCTGCCAAGCAGCCTCCACAGCCTGCCCAGAGATAAGACAAACTGCAGACATATCTCTAGGGATGGAGCAAGAAGTCCCTAAACTTGAAAATCTGATCAGCTATCTTAGAGACTGGCCACCAGGAAAGTCACAGGTGCTAAGCATACCTAACTACAAATGGGGTTGGGGAGATATTTCAGGAAACAAGATTCTAATCGCTGTGACCAGGGAGTGATTTGTGATTCTATTTGCATAACTGAAGATACCAACTATCTGTATCACAGTAGCCCAGAGAGCTATCAAGATCAAGATTCCAGTTACTGGTATGTATAGGGGTGGGCTCCTTTGAAACTGTGGTGCTACCTGGGAAGACAAATGCCTGGGGAAATTTAGTCTCCTTAACCCCAGAGGCTTGTCCTCAGCCTGAAGGAGRTGCTGAGGAAGTCAGGCAAGGAAAACCTGAGTTTTCAAAGCCRGCTGCAGAGCAAGCATGGGCTGGTCAACAGACTCGAGCACAAGCCACCTGCAGGAGGACTGCAAGTGATTCTCACGTACTGTTCCAGGGAAGCGCTGCTGTTTGACTTCTAATTATACTTTATACATGTGGGCGTCAGTCCCTTTCCGAGTTTGATTTTGCTCAGGTCTATTTCTGAGGCTTGGCCCTCTGGGTGTGCTGACAACACCCAGTTCTGGGCCTATAATGCTGAGGGATAGACTCTGGTGACCCCAGGACACTGCTGCTGCCTGGCAGGCCCTGAGATCCATGTGGCAGGCCTTCAGGCTCAGGTTGTCCCACGGCACATTCAGCCTCCTCACTGACTCAGACATCGAGCACACTCTGAACCCAGGTCACATGGTCCTCTTCGTCCCCTCTCACTCCACATCTCAGGCCTGAACCCGCCTTTGCTATTCCAGCACACTCGTCACCCCATCTCCTTTCTGAACCCCACGATTACTCTCCAGCCCACAGAATATGATGTCACTCTCATCCAGCTCCCTGTGTCGACAGCAGCACACTCTTTAAATGCGACTCCTGCTCTCTTTCCCACAGGACTCAGCACAGAGAACAGAACAGATATATATAAAGACCCTGGCTGGCTTAGATTCGGCTGCCACAAATAGCCTCAGACTCTGATTAGCCAAGCTGATAGGAAGAAAGGACGCAGAACCAAGAGCCCAAAGACCTCACTTTTCCAAGTTCTAGTCCAGGTCCCTCCAGGAACTCATGTGGGAYCAGAATTCTCTCCTTTAAAAGATAATTCCCCCTGCCCCTAAAGGACTGTGAGACTCACCTGGTAGAGCGTACAAAGGCTTTGGAAACTGTGAACTCTAATGGAGATGCTGTCCTGGGAGCCTTGGCTTATCAGCAGCGCCAGACTGTCCAAGTGCAGTTCCAAAGAACAGTCTGGCGGTGCTGAGAACCCCACATCCTGGCTGCCCTGTGTAAGGGCTTCAAAGCACCCTATATCGAGGAAGCCCTGCTGGGGATGCAGGCTGTGCTGATCCACACAGCAGGTGAAGAGAACTGGCCTGTCTGTTCTGTCACCAAGACCTACCTGAACCCGTCTTAATCAGGCTGCTCAGCCACCCTCCACCTGACCAGACAGAGCCCCAGAGGCCACAGATGGTAGTGGCCCAGGGGGCGGGGAGCCTCACCGTGGAGAGGTTCCAGTGTCCCTGGCCAGGCTGTGTGGCGTTATTCCGGTCTACTCCCACATTCAGGTGGATGAGCAGCTTCTTCAGCTGCTGCAGGGTGAGGCTGCCACCCTCACCGTAGCGATGCATGAGGTTCTCCAGGAAAGAGGTGGCGCCGACGGCCTGCATGTCCATGGAGGAGGCGTGGGCCTCGGGAGCAGCTCTCCATATATTCAGCAGAGTCAGTAGGAAGCAGCTGGGGAGGGCTGGGCTCGGCAGCTTCATGGTGACCAGGTACACCTACCAGAGCACAGAGCCAGGTGAAGGCCAGATCTCCCCACTCCCTCCCTCCTAGCAGCCCCGCACCCAYCAACCCCACACCAAGCAGGTCTGGTCTCTCCCCCAGCCCCTGCATCCGATCAACATCAAAGTCTGRCTTCAGCCCTTTTCCACTCCCTTTGTCCAACCTTTGAGAGATGCTGCTTTTAAAAGAAATACATGAAAATTAAGAAAAAGGACAAATTCAACAGGGTTGGCTAAATTAAATTTAAAAGTTAAAAACGGCTGTAGCTCAGTGGTAGAGTAAGTGCTATATAGCATGTATGGGGCCTGGGCTCTACCCAGCAGAAAAATAAAAATTAAGTAATTAATTAAAATAAATTGTGGCTATGATTTTAAAAGACCTTATCTTTTAGAGATACTAAAATAATCATTGATTAAATGACTTCTCGCCTGGAATCTGCTTCAAAATAATAAAGTAGGTGAGTGTGTGGTGGTGGCAGAGAGTGAATGAGACAGACTGGGATATATCGTAAGAGCTCATTAGGATCTGCTTTTGTGTTATGATTTGGTTTGTTTTTGTGTTTGTGGTGCTGGGAATTTGAACCCGGGAATGCTCTACCACTGAGTTATACCCCTAGCCCTTTTTGAGACTGGTGAGGCTGGCCTTGAATTTGCAATCCTCCTGCCTCAGCCCCCAGAGTCACTGGGATTACAGGCATGAGCCACTGCACCAAGCTTGTTAAATTTAAAATCCTCCAAAACAAAATTCTTTAAATATAAATATTATACCTAAAAGGGAAAAAACACAAGACTAGCAAAAATATACACCATCAAGGATGAAAAAAAAATTTAAAAACCCAGTTTCTCCAGGACATTGAGAATACAAATTAAGAACTTGACTCGTGCTATCTTTCTACTTATTAAAATGGCAAAATAGACTTTTAATACAGAACACTTCAGGGCGGAGGATACAGTACAGTGGTAGAGAACTTGCACAGCTGCGCTTGAACTACAGGGCCACAAATAAATAAAACTAAAGTGAAATGAAATAAATTAACAGTAGCATAAAAATTTTAAAAAACACACAATAAAAACAACCGTATGTTCATGAAGCTGAATAGCAGCAGAAATAAGATGGGACTCTTAAAAAAGTTATGAGAGGGCTGGGGTTGTAGCTCAGTGGTAGAGTACTTGCCTAGCATGTGTGAGGCACTGGGTTTGATTCTCAGCACCACATAAAAATAAATAAAATAAATGTCTATCAACAACTTAAAATTTTTTTTTAAAGTTATGATAATAAAAAATATTTAAGCCCTTCAAATGAGTCATTCTACTTCTAGAATTTACCTGAATCAAGATAATTCAAAAATAAACCAGGCATAGTGGTACATGCCTGTAATCCTAGTAATTCAGGAGGCTGAGGCAGGAAGATCACAAGATGAAGTCCAACCTTAGAACCTTAGTGAGACCCCCCCAAGCAACTCAGTGAGATCCTGTCTCAAAATAAAAAAAATAAAAGGGGCTGGGGATGTAACTCAGAGGTAGAGCACCTCTGGGTTCAAGCCCTGGCACCAAAATTAATTAATTAATTAATTAATTAATTAAAAGGTCATACACAAGAAGATGTATTGTAATCAAATAAATTATGTCAATTTCATGGAATATTATGCAGATATAAAAAAATCATATCCATTTGAAATGGATATAACATTAGGTAAATAAAGAATTACGTAGCAAAGTTAAGAACTGAAAAGAACACAGAAAAACAACAGCTTAAGGTATCAGTGCTAACTGTAATCTTTCTTTTGTTAATCATTTTCCTTAGTAGGACTGTAATTTAATTAGTGACATAAGCAAATATCCGGAGTGGGAAATGAGCCTCCTTGCTCCAGACCAGGAAGAGTTCAACCACTGCAGTGGTTTCCTCCCCAGGATCCCAGGGCTCCAGCACCAAATGCCTCCCAGTGTGCTGCTGCTCCACCTCTGGGTCTTAGCTTATGACAGAGGAACAGGATCTGAGTGGCTCAGAACAGGTTGCCTGAACCCTGGACAGAGAGCAATGTGACTTTGGGTAAGTTATTTAACCCAGAATGTTATTTAACACAGAATGACCCAGGGTAGCAGTGCAGCTCACAAGGGCCCTAGTGCCACATAAACATGGCTTGAATTGATTCATAATGATGCTTAAAAAAGAAGCTGCCTTGGGCAAGTTACTCAATCTCCCCATATCTCACCTTTCTCATCTGTAAAATTGGTACCCACCTAATTGGATTATTGTGAAGACTGAATGCCCAAGCTCTGGCAAGGCCCTTGCCAAGTGCTTGAACTAAAGCACTCAGAATCTGGCTTTAATGATTTTTTAAAAAAATATTTATCTTTTCGGGGCTGGGGCTGGGGCTCAGCAGTAGTGCACTTGCCTGGCATGAGTGAGGCACTGGGTTCAAGTCTCAGCACCACATATAAATACATATATAAAATAAAGGTCTATCAACAATGAAAAAATAAAATAAATTATCTTTTAGTTTTAAGTGGGCACAATATCTTTATTTTTATGTGCTGCTGAGGACTGAACCCAGTGTCTCGGTGCATGTTAGGCGAGCACTCTACCACTGAGCCACAACCCTAGCCCCTGGCTAGAATTATTCTAARACATAATTAGCAGGTTTCTTCCAACTTTGACTCAGCCTGAACATGAAGCCACTAACATGACTGTGAGGAATACCTGGTGGCTAACTTTACTTTCAATGGCAACTATCACAACTCCAGGCCTGTAGCACACACATTACCTAAGTCTTACAATGCAAGGGTACCCAGGTTCATTCAGGCTTTGGGTTCTACACACAGGATACACACAGAACCTAGACACATGAAGTGCTACTCATAGGTGGAATATACAGAAATGGATGGATCAGCAAAAATGATGGTTTCTGAAAGTGTTACTTTGAGACTCACAACTTGAATCTCCACCCAGAACCAAAAGTTAAATTATGTGAGCAGGGTAATGGGAGGGGAGTGGGTCTTAGGCCAAAATGACTGAAACTCGTTGTTCAAAGAAAGCAGTCATTCAGCCAAGCAGCTGTGAACCATCCTGGGCATGTGTTCTGCTATTAACACAGAGAGTGGAGGTGTGCATGGATTTAGGAAAAGAGGTGGAGAGATGAGGCCCAGCATCTGGCATGGACCAAGGGCAGACCTTGCTAAGTACCTGACACTCACTGATTCCTTTAAGAGAAGCTGGGAAACTTATCCACTTAATAGATAAGGAAACTGGAGTCCAGAGACTAGGAAGTGTGATCCATAGCCAGCAAAGCCAGACATTGACTTTCTCATGAATCAAAGCCAGGTCTGAAAGACACTTAACCAGTGTGCTCTCAGCATGAAGACAAAATGCAGGACCTGGAGAGCCACAAAATCCTGCACTATGCACATCTTTGCCAATTTCCTCCTCCCTTCCTTTCATCATCCTTCTCTCTTCCTACCCTGTCCTGGGGACTGAACCCAGAGGTACTACCACTGAGCCACACCCCCAAGCACTTTTTACTTTTTATTTTGAGACAGGGTCTCACTAAGTTGCTTAAGACTTTGCTAAGTTGCAGAGGCTGATCTTGAACTTGCGATCCTCCTGCCTCAGCCTTCCAAGTCTCTGGGATTACAGGTGTGTACCACTGTGCACAGCAGCTCCAGTAAGCATTCTAGATCCTGGCTTAGGATGCCCTGAAGAGCTAGGAGGGGGATACCTAGGGATGCCTTAGAAGCCAGACTGAATTACTGGGTTCCTGCTGTGGAATCACAGAACACAACAACAACAACAACAAAAATGATTGTTTCCACTTCAAATATATTTCCCAAATTTATCTGCAACATGTAGTTGCAGATAAACACTCTGAAGAAACAAAAACATTTCAAGGGAGAACAAGGGACAATTTTAGAATCTTCTCCTGGATGGGCATTCCCTAGAGGTATGCTTACAAAGCATTTGCTCTCTACTGGCCCAGGAGCCCCTTATGTGGCTACTAGACAGAAAGCCTGGAGGGCAGGCAAGAGGCAGCTTCTGGCTGTGCAATCAGATAAGTGATGGCGCCACCTGTGCGTCTCCCAGGTGACCTTTCCTCTCCTGGCCAGAAAACCTGTTCTTGCCTCTGGTAACTTGAGCTTCAGGCTTCTGTGATGGCCCTGAGACCACTGGGCTCTGCAGTCTAGGCCAGTCCCTAAAGGTGGGCAGATCCAGTAAACTCAGCCCTGCTGCCCAGCCCAGCACTTGAGAGCTGAAGTCACCCCCTTGAAGAATCAGTGGAGAGTCACTAGGGGCAGAAAGGAATCCTGTTCCAGAGATCCCCGAGCTGCTGAAGACACTCCCAATTCAAGTGACCTTGTTCTTTTGGCAGTCATGAAAGGGGAGCTTTCTGCATCAGCGGAGATTCCCCACCTTTCAACTACGTGTTATTCTTAGCAGTAGCAACAACCAAAGTTCATAAAAGATTCTTTGAAGGAAAGAAAAAAGAGGGGGAGAAAATACACAGTTCTTACTGAACCTGGGAGAGCGAGAGCAAGGTTAGGCAGGGGTTCTGGCCTGAGGGGAGCCACTCCAGGCCCCCAGGGACCTGAGCTAATATGCCCTCAAGTCAAGAAAGAAAGCCAGCCAAGAGTGCTAGGAAGAGCTGCAAAGAGGGGAAAGACACAAAAGCTGGAGTGTAGGCTGGCTCCGACCCCCAGGCCTTCCTACTCAAGAGAAGCCAGCTCAGCTCCGGGTCAGAGAAGTTAACTGTTCTAGTGCCTCAGGCCTGTCTCCAAGGTGCAAAGGAGAAAGTGGGGAAGACTATTGTTCTGGAACCCTCTAAGGAGCACAAGTTTCTTTATCATCCTAGAGGCTCCTAAATTGGAATCCTGCCTATTCCCACCCTTTCACTGGGCCCAGAAGCAACACCATTTATTGCTAAGTTTCCTATTCATTTTGTCCAGGCCCACCTCCCCACTAGAGGGGGGCCAACTTTTGACTTCTCCTTGAGACAACAAAGTAG